TTCCACATTAAATATTCTGCTGACGATTGCCTGGGGCCGGTTTTGGACTATATCGTACCTGTCAATTCACGTTGACTCACCCGATGAACTCATGTCTACCTGCCATCCCGCGACCCCCGACTCGGTCACGTAGTCCCAACTGCTGACTATTCTTATCAAGCAAGCAATCATCTTCCGCCTTTACGACTAAAAAAATAGCGCTCGTGCCCTATGCTTTCTTTAAACGCACGTGCGCGTGCGTGTACCCACGGGGGTGTTTGAGATTGTATGTGCGCGCGTGCGTGCATGCGGTTGGCCATGCGCGAGTGTGTGCCTGCGTGCGCGCGTAGGTGCAAATGTGCGTGCGTGCGTGCGTGCGTGCGCGCATGAGTGGATGGCGTGACTACGCTTTCATTTCACCAAGTGGCGAGATAGACGTGGCGTGATAGATAAGAGATGTTTCGCAAAAAAATGAGCCTGCGTGTATAGAAACACGTGTCCGCGGCGTGGCACGCTTGCAAATAATATTATTTATTTTCTACAGTGGCTCATATGAACAAAACACAAGCACGCATGTACGCATGTACGCAAACACAAGTACGCAAGCAAACAGCAAGTTGCAAAACGGAAATTGTTGGTGGTGGTGGGGGGCAACACAAAATCTCGATGGTGGGGGAGGTGGTGGGGGCGCCAGTGCTGCCACCTATTTTCGTTTATAAAACTTGTACTTGTTTCAATAATTAGTTGCTTTGCCAACATGTTTACTTGTACGTTGAAATGAAGTTGCAGTTGGCGTCCGTAAATGTGTTTGTCTTGAAACTTATTTGCTTCGTCTCGAACTTTATATGTTTGCCAACATGCTAACCTACGTTTTGTTCATATGGGCCACCATACTTTTCGTCTCGCTAAGCAGAAACATGTTGCTTGTAAAAGAGTTGTTTGCACGAGAGCTTACAATATATATATATATATATATATGTGTGTGTGTGTGTGTGTGTGTGTGTGTGTGTGTGTGTGTGTGTGTGTGTGTGTGTGTGTGTGTGTGAGTAACGTTAGTCCTTCACCCGGGCAGCAGGAAGTTCATGCGCTCACACACACGATAGCAATAGGGGGCCGATTAGCTAACAAACAGGTTCTGCTGTGCTTGTGAGCGCGCGCACGCACGGCCTGCTTTCACACAACCTGCCCCTGCTACCTGCCTCCGATTCAAACATCGAGGTCACCAGGTGGCATAGACTGTCGCTATATACAACCCTATCCCTTGTTCTATCTTCAATTCCGTATTTCCTCCTATACCTTAAGTTAAGGGGGAAATATTCCCCCTCCATTGACACATCTTGACCTTTGACCCTTGACCCCCAAATTCGACATCCTGAGTCCTTTTCGCGACCCCACCCCCGAATATCAAGATCGTACGTCACGCGGTTAAGATTTGTACCGTAACTGTTGACGCACGGACGGACGGACGAACGGACGGACATTCATGCGATTCTACAAGCTGCATCTGACTTTGTCAGCCGAGCTAAAAATTCAATACTTTTTCCTAATTTGGCTTAAAATTATGTCAGCTGTTATAGCAACATTAACAACACCGTTAATTTTGCCATCATTTCACGTTGCCGTTGTTATTATTATTTGTATTTTTATTACTTTCATCACCATCATACCCATCATGACCACCATCATCAGGAACACATGCTCCTGTTGCCATCGATATGCATTATTATTATGTAACTAGACCATATAGCCCTGAGGCATGTTGTCACAGAAAAAATTTGTCTTAACATCAACTTTTTCTTATAGAATGTTGACAGAAACGTGGAAAGTTGTGAGTTTCTCATAATAGTCATATGCAATGTATAGAGGTCCAGTCTATAAGAAAGCATTATAACACCAAGACTGGTGTCAAGCCCGATTTTTGAACAGCAGACCCTTAGGAACAGTGTCACAGCTCCATTTGACAACATACATCAGTTAAGTGTGGGACCGCAACGAAACATGTAGGCCTAAACTGACACGTGACATGACCAACTTTTCTGATTGAACACACTAGACCTAGATGATTAAAATTTTATGTACAAACAAGTTTTGCTCAGAGTAACGTTTAAACTCCCATATTGTAACTTTCGTGAATGTGGGGGGTGGGGGTGGGGTTGATACAATAATGTAACCCAACAAGAGTAGGCTACTCTTGTTGGGTTACATTATTGTACCTAGGGGGGTACACTAATGTGGGGGGACGCCTAAATAATATTAATATAATTAATAATAATTATCATCAACGTATATACAGGGATGAGATTGGATAATTTAATTTTCAGCTGAAATTTTAATTAGCAAACAGAGCGAGCAATGCGAGGACCGTAGGTCATCGCCATGCTAGGGGGGTCCGGGGGCATGCTGCCCCGGAATTTTTTTTAAAGAATGGTGCAATTTGGTGCATTCTAAGCTATTCTGAACACATTATAGGAGACTCTTGAATCACCTTTTCAAGTTG